TAATCAGAAGCAGGCAGGAAAACAATTATTTCAATTTAAGGTGTGACAGTCACAACAGGATGTTTTGCATCTAATAAGGAAGAAAAAGGTGTTTTGGATGCAACAGGAAGTTTAAGAAGCTGTATAAAAGGACTTGCCAACCAGTGCTCTTTATTCATTTCGTAGTGGAGTCCCCCAGGGCTCGGTCCTGGGGCCTGCGCTGTTCAATTTCTTCATCAGCGATCTTGATGTTGGGGTGGAGAGCAACCTGTTTAAATTCGCTGATGACACCAAAATTTGGGGGGAGGTGAGCACGCTAGCAGGGAGAGAGAGATTGCAGAAGGATCTGGATAGGTTACAGGGGTGGGCAAACAGGAACAGGATGTGTTTCAATACGGACAAGTGCAGGGTGCTGCACTTGGGTAGTAGGAACCAGCAGCACACTTATACGATGGGGAGCTCCCTACTTGAGAGCACGGAGGCGGAAAGGGATCTTGGTGTCATTATTGACTCCAAGATGAACATGGGCCGACAATGCGAGGTCATGGTTGGCAGGGCTAACCGGACCTTGTCGTGCATCCACAGGTGCATCTCGAGTAGAGCCAGGGAGGTGATCCTCCCCCTCTATGCGACGCTGGTCAGGCCGCAGCTGGAGTATTGTGTCCAGTTCTGTGCGCCCCATTTCAGGAGGGATGTGGACAACATGGAGAGGGTCCAGAGGAGGGCCACCCGCATGATCCGGGGACAACAGGGCAGACCCTACAGTGAGAGACTGCGGGACTTGAACCTATTCAGCCTCCACAAGAGAAGGCTGAGGGGGGACCTGGTGACCGTCTATAAACTCACTAGGGGGAACCAGAAGGGTTTGGGGGAGACGCTGTTTCCCCTAGCCCCCGCTGGCATAACAAGGAGTAATGGGCACAAGTTGATGGAGAGGAGGTACAGATTGGACATCCGAAAAAACTACTTCACAGTCAGGGCGGCTAGGAGCTGGAACCAACTTCCAAGGGAGGTGGTGCTGGCCCCTACCCTGGGGATCTTTAAGAAGAGGCTGGATACTTACCTGGCTGGACTCATTTGAGTCCCGTTTTTGTTTTTAGGGTGAGTGGTTTTGTTTGTGTTTTTTGGGTTGTTCTCCCGCCCTGGTGGGGGGTCGGGCTAGAAGATCTATTAGGTCCCTTCCAACCCTAAAACTATGAAAAAAAAAAAATGCTCATTGGCATTAATGCTAGCTTGAGTTTGGAGCAGTTATATGTTAAGACTATAGATGTGTCCTAGCGGCTACCTCCCCCACCAGTAGATGGAGCCCTGCGCTCTTTCCACCTCCCCTGCCTCTGATTGGGGAGCCAGGGCCAGGAGATCCCTGCTGCCAGGCAAGGACATTGTCCCTGCACCAGCAGCAGGCAGTCTTCTGGAGCCAGGATACAACTGTCTCCTGGCCTGTTCCCTGCCAGCCCCTGGGCTAGGTCCCAGGGGAAGTCTGGAGCTTCCCCAGTGGTGAAAGGGGCCCATTTGCAGGGGTGCAAGAAGTTTGGTGCTAAGAGCAGCAAATCTGCTACCTAGTCTCTGCATGTGTAGACACTTGCCCTGGAGCACTTAATCTGAAGAAGTTTACTCCTGAGTAAACTAAGCCCAGATCAAATGCACATGTAGATGTGTCCATTGTTGATCCTCTCTATCGTGAATCTCAGGGAAACTGATTTGTAGTGGAAGAGGAATACCCTTGGTTTCATAGTTTCATAGTTGGTAGGGTCGGAATGGACCTGAGCAGGTCATCTAGTCCGACTCCCTGCCATTGGCAGGAAATAATGCTGGGGTCAAACAACCACAGCTAGGTGATTGTCTAGCCTCCTTTTGAAGATCCCCAGGGTAGGGGTGAGCACCACTTCCCTAGGAAGTTGGTTCCAGATCCTAGCCGCCCTGACTGTGAAGTAGTGCCTCCTGATGTCTAGCCTGAACCTACTCTCCATCAGCTTATGGCCGTTATTACTTGTAACTCCCGGTAGTGATTGGGGGAACAGGGACTCTCCTATTGCCTGCTGGTACCTGTTGGCAAGTTTGTAGGTGGCCAACAGATCCCGTCTCAGCCTTCTCTTGTGGAGGCTAAACAGGTTCAGGTCCCGTAGTCTCGCCTCATATGGCCTACCCTGCTGCCCCCTGATCATGCAAGTGGCTCTCCTCTGGACCCTTTCCGTGCTATCCACATTCCTCCCGGCCCAGAACTGGGTGCAGTACTCCAACTGCAGCCTGACCAGTGTCACATAAAGGGGGAGGATCACCTCCTTGGACCCGCTCATGATGCATCTGTGGATGCATGACAAGGTGCGATTAGCCTTCCTGACTGCGCCCCCACATTGGCAGCCCATGTTCATCTTGGAATCAATAGTGACTCCAAAATCCTTTTCTGCCTCTGTGCTGACAAGAAGAGAGTTCCCCAGCCTGTAGGTGTGCTGCTGGTTCTTCCTCCCCAGGTGCAGCACCTTGCACTTGTCAGTATTGAAACCCATCCTATTCTCATCTGCCCACTACTGTAACCTGTCCAGATCTTGTTGTAGCCTGTCCCTCTCCTCTAGCGTGCTCACTTCTCCCCACATCTTAGTGTCATCTGCGAACTTGAACAAGGTGCTTTTCACTCCCTCGTCCATGTCACCGATGAAGGTATTGAACAGTGGGGGCCCGAGGACCAAGCCCTGGGGAATCCCACAGGCCACGTCCGTCCAGGTGGAAAATGACCCGTCCGTTAATGAGGATGGGGTGAAAGACAGTGTCGAAGGCCTTCCTAAAGTCCAGAAAGACTACGTCCACCGCAACACCTGCGTCCAGGGCTCTTGTCACCTGGTCGTAGAAGGCAACCAGGTTTGTCTGACAGGACCTGCCTCTAATGAACCCATGTTGATTGGCTCTAAGCTTAATATTCCCTGCTAGTCCCTTGCAGATGCACTCCTGGATAATGTTCTCAAAGAGCTTCCCCAGGACTGAGGTAAGACTAATAGGCCTATAGTTTCCTGGGTCCTCTTTCTTCCTATTTTTGAAAATGTGGACCACATTGGCCCTTTTCCAGTCCTCTGGCACCACACCAGAGCACCACGAGTGCTCGTAAAGCTCTGCCAGGGGTCCCACAATGACCTCTGCCAGTTCCCTCAGCACTCTGGGATGGAGATCATCAAGACCTGCTGATTTAAATACGTCCAGTCCCTCCAGGAGTTCCCTGACTAGGTCCTCACTGACCCTGGGTCCTTCCGGATTCCCAGTGGGGAGGGATGTCCCTGTCCTGCTCAGAAAAATGGAAGAAAAGAAACTATTAAAGAAATTAGCTTTGTTGCCTTGTGCTACCACCAGATTCCCAAGCATGTCCTGCAGAGGCCCCACATTACTCGGTACCTTCTTTTTACCCCCAATGTATTTAAAAGAGCACTCCTTGTTATCCTTGATCTGGGTCACTAGTCCCAGTTCTATCTCTGCCTTAGCCTTCCTAACAGCCCCCCTACAATCTCGAGCAATGGAGGTATACTCCTCCTTGGTGAGGGACCCTTGCTTTCATTGAGTGTACACCTCCTTTTTGGTTTTGAGATGTTCCTGGATGTTTTTGGTGAGCCATGGGGGCTTTTGAGTGCTCTTGCCCCCCTTGATCCACATGGGGATTGTCACCCTTTGGGCCTGGAGGATCGTCTTCTTAAGGAACGACTGCTTCTCATGGACTCCCAACTCCCCTCCCCTCCAGGACCTCAGTGCCTCCCTGACTAGTCTCCTTAGCTCATTGAAATCCACCTTCCTGAAGTCCAGGGCTGCTGCCTTGCTGCAGGCCTTTGCCACCCTGAGCTGGATGGTGAATTCCAGTAAAGGATGATTGCTATCACCCAGGTGGTCGAGCACCCACAGTACCCTCTCCAGGTCACATCGCCTGATGGTGGTGATGAATGTGTGGTGAATGTGTGGGGGAAAGAGATGGGAAATCTTTTCCTTATCCAGAGTGAGACCACACTCAGGCCCAGCCCTACAGTATTACAGAGGGATTGAATCTCAAAGTGTACTCCAACTGACAAAGGAGAGGAATGGGGCCAGTTTTGTTTCTATTCAAACACCTCAGTGGATAAGCATTATTTTATGTTGGTTTTTAACTCAGCAAGTGGTATCTTGGGGAGAAGGCCCAGGCCATACAATTGGGCAGACCATGAAGTCTGAGGAAAATCTGAGGCCACAGAGTGCCGAAGGTTTGGATTGAAAAAGCAAGCTCTCAATCAGGGTACATGCTTCAAGCAAAAGGGGTCATTTGGAAGAAGGGACCCAACAAACTTTGAGGATAGACGTTATGTTTTGTTTGTTTCCCTTGTGGTACCAACCTATTTTTTCTTTCCTTATTAGTGTGAAACTCAAAAAGACAATACCTTAACTTACAATGTGAGGCAGGGAGCGAGGTGTCCAGGTGGAGGAGCCCACATGAAGAACCCGACCAGAAAAACCCACAATAGAGATGTGGTCACAGATACTTAGAAATCAGGTGTAGCCTTCTATCTCTCAAAATTACATCAAGTGGTGGCAGGTTAGGATTACTGGGTGATTAGGAGCTCTACCCATCCGGTATTCAGGCGACCCTGGTGTGAGTACACTACGGTCACCCATGGACACTGATCTGTAATCCTACAAAAGGAAATCTTCCAAATCTGAGTAGAGGTTGGAGTGATCAGGAGGGAGGCATGAGGCTGTTCTCTGTTTTTAGAAGTATGGGAGGGAAGAACCAGAGAGATTTGAGGACCCAGATTATCTTTCTGGAGTATAGACAGCGCAGTCTTATCAGTATGAAAAGGACCAGATGCTGTACATGAGAAAGAAAAACAAACACCCCATTTAGGGTAGGAGCAAATAACAGGGTACACAGACATGCTCCAGGGCTGATTTTCATCTCTGTGTAAGACTTCAGTAGGAATTAAGTCATGCTGGTTGCTGACCTCTGCACAGGAGGGAATTTCACCAGAGGGACTGCAAATAAGGAATGGAGGGGAAAAAAACCCAGGAGACAAATATTATGCTGCAGAGTAATGTTAATTTTAATGCACATAAGAAATTGAATATACAGTCACAGAACAAATACAGAGGAGAGAGCAAATATTCCCAAGCTTTTCCAAAGGACCACAACTGGGACTCTACGCCTGGCCCATTTTGTACAAGGTGTGCTTCTTTCTTTCAGCTGCTGACTTTTACTACCAAGCTGTTTCCATTTATTTACTAGTTGTCTCACTGAACAATGTCAAATGAGGAAAAGCACAATATAAGGAGGGGAATAAACAGCTTCTCCATGATGCAGTTTATGTAGCCAAGTTTCATGTTAGAAGCAAAGGATAAAAGAGCATCTCTTTCCCATTGACACCAAAAACATTTGACACCACTGTGGTTGTGTCAAGTGATCTGCAATGGATTGCAAGTGGACTCTAGGGAAACAGAGGCTTCCTTTTAAATGACATCACAACATGAAGAGGCCTTAATACTTAAGAGCGCAGAGAATGCAAAGTTCCTAGAGTGACCAAGAAAAGCATAGGAAATACATGTATGGGGAAGGCAGCCTTCTTCCAATGCTAAGCCCTCTAACTACGGAGGTACTGAGTGCTTAGCACTGCTTAAAGCCATCTCCTTTGGGTCAGCCGTGAATCTGTATCCTGTTTTTCATGTTTTCATTGCCCCAAGTGCCGTGGATATTCAAGATGGATTTAGCATGGCCAGCACTTTCCATAGCTGCCCCTACGCCCCCAGCGGGAAGCGTAAGGGTAGCAGAATCCAGAACCGTACGAGCTCCCAAGCCCATAACTGTATGGCCTTCTGTAGTTGCATGGATCCCAACAACTATTCCAAGATGACCTTGAATAGCAGGGATCCCAGCAACTGCTCCAAGATGGCCTTCTATAGCAGGGGTCCCAACAGCCACTCCAAGATGACCTTCTGTAGTAGGGGTCCCAACAGCCACTCCAAGATGGCCTTCTGTAGCAGGGGTCCCAACAACCAGACTGGCCCTTGTACCAGAGGTCTTCAGTTGTGTCTAGGTTGTCAAACATCTTGCTGTGATGGAGGTGAACCTGAAACACAGCAGGGAGCAGAGGAAACATGACACATCTGCAGTTCTGGTGGGATCAAGGGTCAAAACTTGGGTGCAACTCTCTGGGCAATCTGGTAGGGACCCAGATATTGGGGGATGGAGCAGGGAAATGATGACCTCAGACCTCCTTTCTGCTTGTGTCACTACTCTCCTTTCCCCCCTCTTGCCTCATTGCTCTACTTCCCCTCAGCCTCTCCCCTAAACAACAGCTTCAAAGCCTTCTCACTTTCTTTGCCTGCAAAATGCTGGATGGAAACCAGGCTCCAGGGCTGTTTGGGGCAGCTGTAGCAGGAATTGGTGAGGGAGCCTTTAGTCCAGGCCTTGGCAGCCCCTGGCCCGATGGCGCAGGCACAGTCCTGGGACGTGGGGAATGTGCATCCACGTCAGGACCCAGAACCCAAGTCTTCCACTTTATGTCTCCTACCACTAGGATGTTGGTGGCCATAGGTGAATTGCACCTCTGATGTTTGTTGCACTTGGTGCAAGTCAGGGCTGTGGGGAATCAGTTCAACTGGGGAGAGATGTGGGATGTTAGATATTGCTCCCTCTCTTCTGGAATTCACATGCTACCTGGTTTGAATTGAGGACCGAGCCTCTTTATTTGAGCCAAGGGGACCCTGGACACCGAACTCAGGATTTTGATTGCCACTTCTGATTGGACACATCTCCTTTTTTGCACAAGACATGGCACAGCATTGCCTCAACTGGGTCCCTCTTTCACTCTGGCTGTAAGTGTCCCAACTGCCCTTGAAATGCCAACCTCACCTGTGGGCCCCCTAATGCCAGCCACCCACCAACTGCAACAAAAGCAACAAAGAGAAGTGGAAGACCCTGAGCAATGCAGAAGGTGCAGTGCAGTAAGTGTCAAGCCTTACTGATGCTTGCAATGACAGACATACAAAGGCCAACTTAGAAATGGACATAGATCAGCAATGAAATGACTAAATCCTGGTGCTTCTGGTCACATGTTAACTTGGGTCCCAGTTCTTCTCGTCTGTCCCTTGCTCCAGTCCCTTTAAGCTGCCCTGCTGACCAGCCCCTCTTCAGCCCCCTTATCCTCAAAGCACTTACTGAAACTGGGGAACGCAGCCCTTGTTTCAGAGAAGAGTCCCACTTCCCGTCAATTTTGGAAAAATTTCGTGCAGGCCGGGGTAGGGACATATGAGGGAAATTCTAATCACGAGTCAGCAAATTTTCTAACAAATACATGGGGAAAAGTGTCTTTTATGGCAAGAAAACAGAAGGAATAGCAGTTGATTTCAAAGGAATTTAACTAACTCTGTGCAGTTGAGAATCTGCACCTGCTGTTTCTAATCGCGCACACAAAAACCCAATGCATCACAACAGTGACTCTGTTGAACTTTTGTCTTGTCTCCAGTAATACCAAGTGCCACTTGCTTCCTAAAGCAAGAAGAAAGCTTGGAATGAATGCACTATGGAATTTCTTCTGTACACATCCAAGTTAAAAGAGGAGTATGAAGTTTGTCAGTCTCAATGATTCAAACACCCGATCCTTAATGAAAAGTAAGAGCGATCGTCTCAAATTCTCATGCGTCTGTCAAATTGCTGCCATTTCTTTGAAAGTTTCTGCACTTCTTTAGTTCCCCTTAATATCCTAAAACATCCTAGAGTATATATATGCAAGATTCAGTCCTAATGTTAAAAGATTGTTTAACACAGTATCCCCATAGTTAAAAGAGATTGAGGTGAATCGGACTTACCTGGTTTACCACAAGAGTGAATCAAGAGAAGCGAGTAAATAGCACTGGTTTGCAGGTCCTTTTATACAGATTCCTAAATGACCTGGTGCATTTGAAACACGCTTTTCTTGCTTCTTAGATGCAATACATTCTGTTGTGGATGTCACACCTTCAATTTAAATAATTGTTTTCATGGTTGCTTATAATTATTAATGTGTCCTCTGCCTCCCGGGATTTCACATGCACACTAAATGTTTTTCCATTCTATAAATTTCTGGACCAGCTACATTCCTGGTCTTATGGAAATGACTTAATAGAGGTTGCACTGGGAGGGAAGGGTAAAACTTGCTGACAATCAGAGTTTCTTTCTTAGGGGGGAAAATTATTCAGCACTTGGACCTTAGCATTGAGCTTGATTCAGAACAGAAACAAATATTTTCACCATTTACCAAAATGGTAAAGCTAACAGGCTGTTTTCTAAACATTTTGAGATTTAAATCTTCAAGTGTATTTCTATAATTTAATTTTGTTTTTAGAAGCCCCTCAAAAGAGCCAAACGACTGAAAGGAAGGACAAAGAGGTAAGAGTGTCACATAGCTCATAGCTCCTGACACGCACTCAGAAGTGTTCAGAGTCACTCAGATGCTGGGTTGTACCTTAGAGAAGGGTTTTCGCTTTCCCCATCCCCTCTTCTGACAGGCCCACCACACTCAATACCACTCCATACACTTCACCTCCACCCTCTAAAAACCTGCATAGATCATGTGTTCACTTTCGTAAAGGAAATAATGGGATATTTTAAGGAGAATATGAGTTGCCCATTAAGATTTTATTTTTTAGGAACTATTAACTGCAAAGGGGAGGGGGACATTTTTTCATTTGAATCACCTGAAATATCTTATAACAAAGCTTTCCACCTTGTACTACCTAATGAACTTCTCTATTTTACACCTCCATTAACAACTAAGCAACTTAGACTTGCTATTTCCTTAGCAGAAGTCTCCTTTTCCTGCGCAAAGGACGTGAAGTGAAAGGAGATGGCAACATGATGTACTTGGCTATTGTTTACTTCGGAAGGTGACCCAGAAGATGCTCCCCCGAAAAAAAACAAAAGATATGAAAGCCAAACATGGGCATGGCTCTGAAATAATTATTAGCCTGTCAGTGATACATTTAGACATTTTAACTGCCAAACCTCCTTTAATAAGGAATAGCATTAATGTTATTTTGCGACATAATGTCCCGGGGCTCACAGAGTCGGTTTCACATTGCACATGTAGCAGTCAGGAACATCAAGTTTATAAAGTCATTAAATGACAGTCAAGTGACCTTCAACTCAAGGTCTCACTACTTAGTTTCACACAAAATAAGGATAATAACAGACACAGTGGATATTCTAATTTTCTCCATATTGAGGGAATCAAAGCTCTTCATTAACATGTATTAAAGCTGTCACAGCACCAAATCATTATATTACTACAAAGTTCAAACTGGAGGACACCCTGTATGTAGCAATACAGACACTGTAAAAATGCGGATCAAAATCAAAATGCAGATCTGTAAGCCATCCTTAGGTCATGAGTTGTTATTGCATTGCAATTTGGTGCTGTCTGATTTGCATTTCAAAAGCAGCCGCAGGTTTCTCTCTCTTTTAATAAACAATTCTCTTTTAAAGTTCACAGCCAGATCTGCTGGTGCTATTACTTAACACAGCAATCAACTTCAAGGACTCTTGAAGGAGAGAAAGAAAGAGAGACAGGAGACATACGCACAAGAAAGAGAGAAATACTCTTCTCCTTTCCCAAATTAAATGAAAATTTTTTTGGAGTGGCTTTCTGTAACAGGGTTTCAGGCTCTTTGCAAAACATGGCTCCTATCACACACCAAGTCTGCTCAGCATTCAGATTAGCTTAATCATCTCTACCCACTTCCATTCATAAAGAACACAAGAAATGCCAGACTGAGACACATCACAGGACCATCCGGCAGGTCACAGGTGTCTTACAGTGGCAGAGGGCATGTTAAGGGGAAGAATAGTGAAACAGATAAACCCAAACTGTTCTCTCCCCTGCCCCTCGCTTCTGCAGCTTCTAGGTGACCAACAATGTTTTATTCTCTCTCACTTGCATATCTGCCTAGGCTTCATATTTGAAATATATGAAGATGCCAACAATTGTCTTGGCCAGGCATAGAAAAAGATGACGATGCTCATCCCCAATAGCTTCAAGGCTGCAACTTAGAGCTTTCATAAGACCCCATGCTTTATTTTGTCCTAAAGCCATCCCCAGCAATCACCAGCAGGCAGCTCAGCAATACTGGTTTCCCATGAATCCTGATACCACCACACTTGTGAAACCACAGGAGGTCAATAAAAAATGAATTTCTAATTTACGTGAAGGGGAATTCAACCCAGACACCCCACGCCCCCCACAAAAAATCCACAAACAATATAAAGTAATACATGATCAAAGCCGAAGTCAGTCCAGGTTTTTAAAAATCATAAGTGCGGTTCACTGGGAAGCATTTGAAGTCCATCCACCAGTCAATGGGCTGACATCCATTGGTTGGGTGGGCATTGAATCAGAAAAATGTAGCTGCACATATGAGCATACTAAACAATGGCTCCTTCCTCCCTTTGAGCTTCTGAACCCCCAATGAATACAGTAGAGTCAGACAACAAGACTATTTGATCCATAAGGTTTTAATTTTAAAGGCACCTAGGGGTGTAATTTGCAGGTTATAACTTAAATTAAAAAACACAATAATCACAAACACGGAGTGAAACGATTACAGCATTTGGAGGAATGACACACATGACAAAATTTGTTTCATCGCTAATAAGGACCTCGAGCACAGAAGATGCCTCAAACACTCCCGGCGGCCTAAGAACTGTATAAAAGGTCTCACAGATGAGGGTGATTTAATCATTTCTTGACTCTTCTCTTCAGTGAGCCGGGTAAGTCCAACTTAGCTTGATCTCTTAAAACTATTTAGCATTAGGTTTTAAATTTAATAATTGATCTTGTACTTGTATTCAATGCTCAAGGTCTTTCCCTTGTTTTTGCTGCTTTTGTTGCAGTTGGTGGGTGGCAGGAATTAGGGAGCCCACAGGTGAGGTTGGCATTTCAAGGGCATTTGGGACACTAGTGGCCAGAGAGAAGAGGGACCAGCTGAGGTGATGCTGTGGCATGGGTTGTGCAACGAGTAGGTGTGCGCAGTCTGGGTGACAATCAAAATCCTGAGTTAGGTATCCAGGGTCCCTTTAGCTCAAATGAAGAGACTCAAGCTCCCCCAAGCCAAAGCAGGCAGCATGCTAAGCCACTGCAAAGCCCAGAAAAGAGGGAGCAATATCCAACATCCCACCTCTCGCCCCAATTGGGGTGATTCCCCACAGCCCTGACTGCCCAGGACTGTGGGATCGAAAACTGGCAACTGCGTAAGGCTGAACCCTTCCTGCAGTGCAACAAGTGTCAGAGGTGCAATCCACCTTTGGCCCCAGATCCCAATGGCAGGAGACAGAAAGAGGGAGACTTGGGTTCTGGGTCCTGAATCTCCCACACAGGGCCCGGGAGCCTGCTTTCCAGCCAGCATTTCGAAGGCAAAGAAAGTGAGAGGCTGAGGGCAAGTGGAGCAAAGAGAGGGGAGGGAGGAAAGGAGAGCAGTGACACAGGCAGAAAGGAGGGGTTGAGGTCAGCATTTCCCTGCTCCATTCCCCAGTCTCCGGGTCTCAACCAGATTGCCCTGAGAGTTGCCCCCAAGTTTTGAGCCTTGATCCCATCAGAACTGCACATGTGTCATGTCTCCTCTGCTCCCTGCCATGTGTTTCAGGTTCACCTCCAGCACAGCAAGATGTTTGACAGCCTGGACACAATTGAAGACCTGTGTTACCAGGGCTGTTGGGACCTCTGCTATAGAAGGCCATATTGGAATTGTTGCTGGGACCCATGCACCTACCGAAGGCCATCTTGGTCTGGTTGCTGGGACCCATGCACCTACAGAAGGCCATATATCTATGACAACTGCTACGGCTATGGGGGCTTGTACGGTCTTGGTGGCTGCTATCCTTACTCTTCCCGCTGGGGCCATAAGTACAGCTATGGCAACTGCTGGCCGTGCTAAATCTACCTGCAATATCCATGGCACTTGGAGCAACACAGACATGAAAAACAAGTCACAGATTCACGGCTATCCCGAAGGACAAGGCTTGGAGCAGTGCTAAGCACTCAGCACCTCCATTGTGAGGGCTCAGCACTGCTACAAGACTCCCTCCCCCATACATGTGTTTCCCATGCTTTTTTTTGTCATTCTAGGAACTTTGTATTCTCCGCACTGTTAAGCATGAAGGCCTCTTCATGCTGTTCAGTTATTTAAACAGAAGCCTCTGCTTCCTTAGATTCCACTTGTAACCCACTGCAGACCACCTGACACAGCCACAGTGGTGCAAAAGGGTCTTGGTGTCAAAAGAGAAGCTGTTTTATCCTTTGCTTCTAACTAGAAACATAGCTAAACAAACTGCATCATGGAGAAGCTGCTTATTCCCCTCCTTACATTGTGCTTTGCCGCATTTGACATTATTCAGGAAGAATAGAAGTTAATGCATAGATGGAAACAGCTTTGTAGTAAAAGTCAGCAGCTGCAAAGAGAGAAGCACACCTTGTACAAAATGGGCCAGAAGCAGAATCCCAGTTGTGGCCCTTTGGAAAACCTTGCGAGTATTTGCTCTCTCCCCTGTATCCCTTCTGTGTCTGTGTACTCAATTTCTTCTGTGCATTAAAATTACTCTGCAGCATAAGATTTGTCTCCTGGGTTTTTTCTTCTCTCCATTCCTTATTTGCAAACCTGTTGGTTAAATTCCCTTCTGTGCAGAGCCCCACACACAGCATTACTCAGTTCCCACTCAATTCCTACACAAAGAAAATCATCCCTGGACCATGCCTGGGTGCCCTTTTCTTTCCTCCTATCCCAGATGAGGTGTTTGCTATTTTTTCTCATATAGCGCACCTGGTCCTTTCCAGCCACAGCTTCATGACTGATAATAATGTGCTTTCTGCATTCCAGAAAGATAGTCTGAGCATTCAAATCTCTCCAACCCTTTCCTCCCATACTT